GATTTATGCACCGTGAAATATTCACACACAGCTTGTGTGTGAAAATATTGGCCTAGGCTCCTTCAAATTTACCGTATGTAGCTTTCCGTGTTATTTGAAATACACCACTATATTTTAAATTAAGCTGGTTAGAAAATTGAGTGTATCTGTTTTTTGTATCAATAAACACGATTGTGATGTTGATTGTTGATTAAGTTTGTCGTATTTTTCTTTTTGATACGATCAGACTAAGAGGGGCGTAATTTTAATTCTGTTCATCGTTACTTTGACGATCTTGTTTGTAAAATATGCTGATTTATTGCATTCCATTTTCACTTTGTCAAAATAAGAAAAAACGCACCTCATCAAATATATTCATTCATGATAGGTCTTCCATTAATCAGTAAACGTTGTAGTGTATCAGTGTGGGCCTTTCACTTTCCTTTAGCAACAAATTGATACACATTTTCAACTTTAAAGTTTGTATAGGAACTTTTTCACGCGTAAACAAATTCACATCACTTGTTAGCGCCTCAAGAATGATCCATTTTTTTCTAATATTGAGCAGACATTTCTGCACATATAATTTCATCGAAACACTTGCTTGAAAAGACTTGGGTTCGTAAATCAATAGTTCTAGATTAATGAAGAGCAATTTCGACGCAAAGAAAAAGATTATGGAGCTACTATAATATTAATCAACGAAAATGATTTCAGGCACCAGTTCCGCACCGGCTGCAAACAATAATTTTTTTCAAACTAGTTTTTAATCAATTTAATCGAAAAATTTCAGTTAAAACTATGCTATTCACAAGTTCAAGAGAAGTATAACAGGAATTCTAAACGGTGTTCTGTCCTGAAAGTATTGCATCTTAGTTTAAAGGAGGGGCAACTTTGCACTTGCCTCAGCCAAAAAGAAAAAAAACATTCCACAGCTCTGAACCTGACACAGACATCCAAATCAGCAGAGTGGCTGACTTGGATGTCTCTGAACAGAATTTTGTGTGGTTGTATTTAGCAGGATGGCTTTTATCGGGAGTTGAGTCCGCGAAATCAGCGGTCTCTCGATTGGCGTACACCAACATTGGCGTACACCATGGATTTACTGACAATTTTTACGTCTTTTGAGTGCCTTAAAGTATGGTTAAGCACTGCATAGCATTTGGATGCAAAAATAGAAGTTCCAAACCGGAATACAAGAACTTGTCACGGCTTCACTCCCGCTGTTGAACAAGAAATTATTGAAAAAACGGCTCGTTAAACTACGCCGATAGAACACTTAATTATCCGAGCATTCTTATGTTTGTAGTCAGCATTTTAATGCTGACTGTTTCATAAAACCATAGAGAGGACAAAGAACTTACTTGAAGCTAGAATCTGTGCCTTCAAAGTTTGTTTTTACTGTTGAAAAACCAAAGAGCCTTGCTCACGGAAAAAAGTACGCTCTCCATAACATATCCTTCGCTCATTCTTTACAGCTGGCCCGATAGCCTCTTTTTTGTGTAAGCTAATCGAGAGACCGCTGGATTGTTTTAGTGACGTACTTAACTTCGATAAGAGCCATTGATTTATTTACTTCCTTTGTCTTTCGCTTATCTATTGTTGGTCGAATAGGTCGAGGCCTAATTCCTGACTTGCTTGCAGGGAGGAAGCGGTAAAAGAAAAAACATAAGCAAATTTAACTCAGTGCAGATCAACAATGTCAAACCTATCAGTTAATTCCTTTCCGCCCTCTATAAATCGCAACAACGTTGTTCTACAGCGGAAAGACTCGAGGAATATTGTCCTGGAGGCCTTTCGGCCAGCTTGTTTCGAATTAGTTCTTTACAGCGTTTCTATTTGATGCTGTAGCCTTGTTATGAAGGCGTTTATTTTCATTCCAGTTCGAAGAAAGTCTGGATTTTATCGCCAATGTGTGTTCTTAGTCGCCTGTTCGAATCAGTTTGAAAACAAAAATGACAGGTCAAGGGTGAGCTCTGTTGATAACCATTTCACTAGCGATTGAGAGTTGCGACTTCCTCAAGATCGGCTATGAAGATCTTTACAATGTTTTTACTCGAGGAGCCCGTTGTTATGATCGACTCGATGCTTGGTTCGGCAGGTCGCTGGCGTACAAAACATCTTAGTTCTGATAATGGTCGTTTGGCTAAAGGTTACAGCTGTCTTGATGAAACTTGATTTCTTAAACAGAGGTGATTAGCACATCAATAACGATACTTATTGTCGATTTTACTCGAGTAGAATGTTCCACATATTGTTTGAGGTCATGGATCACGGTGAACTCCAACAGTCTCTTACCGTTTTGAGGTGGGATTATTAAAACGCAGTCTTGAGACCTACTCCGGTAATTGTTCCTGGCCTGGTCGCGAACCTCAAGGGATTCGTTTGGAGCCTTGTATACGCAACCAATGAAAGAATTCGCTTTTGTTCTGTTCGCACTTGAAAGTGTATACCATTGAAATCATTCCGTTACAAATCCCTTCTTGTAGAAAAGTTTACGTCTTTCCAATGCGTCTAATGACTGTTTCTCCGGTCAATACACAGAGAAACCCGAAATTACTATTTCGAAAATCAATACCGCACTATTTAACGACGTCTCTATAATATCAACAGGCGAGGTGAAGATATTTGGGAAAATCAGGACATGCTCATCGATATGAGCTAAATACATTGGCTAGTTTTCTCCATCCACTTCTCAGTCACAACAGGCTTGCCAAGAAAGGTGGTGATGTTTCCATTTTCAAAAAAATAGACAGTTTATCAGTCACTTGAGAATCCAAAAGTTTACAGCAGACAAAGAAATCTAGCTTAAGTACTGTAAAAACGTTCCCGTGGATGAATCCAAGCACTTAAGTTAAATATGGTAAATGTAGAACAGCTTTCCAATAGGTTCACCACCGTTGTGCTGGAGGGAATTCGTGAGTAAATATTCGAACTGTCTTGCAATCTTTGAATGCGGCCCAACAGAAGAGTTTCTTGGTGCAGTTTATCTTAAATCCCATCATTCCGCACTCCATAATCAAGTGATAAAGCTGAGGTTTACCATTAAAAGCGAAATCAAGGCGGCGGCTACGATCATACATACGAATTGAAGCTTTGTGAGGATCCTGCTCATCGCTTATAAAACCTCTTGTTTCGATGCTACTTATTCCCTGGTTAGCTGGAGATTCGTATGTTTGTAGCTTAACAATGAAACGACTACCGTCTTTTGGTGGAGACGGTGCGTAGTCAGGGCCAGAAGGTTCCATACCTGGATAGGTTCGATTAAGAGACATTGAGAACTTGTTGTAAGGGTGAGAAACTTGCAAGGAAATTTCTACGGAGTGTCTTTCAGTCGTGGCCTTGCAGATGTATTTGTGCCTTCCCCAGTGTTTCAGTTGACATTCCTTTCCGCAGTACTTTGCACTCATGCACCTCTTGCAAGACTTTAATCCATCATCTTTTCGAAGGCAAAAAGCACAATATCTTCTCAATTTGTGTGACGTTAAATTTGTTGAGCCGTGATTGTTTCCGGAACACCGATTGCTTGGCTTAAACTCTGGGGCAACCAAGTCAGGAGCAACGGTTTTCAAGTCAAGTGGATGCTGTCCCGTAAACATGTTTTTTGCATTTTTCATCATAAGAAAGGTTTGCAGTCTCAACGGAAAAGAATATAATTCATAGGTGTTAAGTCCCTCATGAAAACCAGGACCACAGTTGTCGTGTATATGGTTGTTTTCTATCACACATGGGATTTTCCCTGGACTTTGCAATCCAGCCATTATGCCACCCATTTTGTTGTTACAGATCTCGTTTCCCTTGTACAGACCGCCCGAATTGCTGTGGATGCAAACTCCCCAATAAAAGTTCTCAAAAATCACGTTATTCTCCAAAGTGACGTCATTATGGTTTAAGAATACACGGACACCAAAGGTGCCATTATGAAATATCTTGTTTCCACGAATTTCCACTGGGAGGGAAACAATAGATTGAGGAGGAAGTCCTGCCACGAGGATTCCCTCGTATTTATTGTCGTAAATCTCGGAGTCGGTTATTATGGCTTCCTTTGCTAAGACACCCGCTTGTTCCTCATCGACCCAGATTCCTCTTGTATTTCCATTGATGTGGCATTTGTGAATTGCAACACGCCCCTTGTTGAACACTCTAACTCCTGATGCATAGCATCCCATCGCGCCATTTCCAGTCACATGACTTTCTACCATCGTGGCTGAAGCATTTGGGCCTTGTACTACTATTCCACAGCCTCCATTACCCTTGATTGTGCATCGAAGAAAACTTGCTGTTCCACTGACAAGGACTAAAGGTTCGGCTGAGCCATTCCTCGAAAAGAAACAGTTCTCGAACTTGACATTACCATTACTTGCAACCAATGTATATTCTGTTGAGAAAGTAATATTTCGAAAAAAGCAGTCTTCTTCCAGGCTAATCTTCCCAGAGTAAATGGTGACCTTAGCTTCGTTGCCCAGAGCAGCTACCACTGTGTTACCGATGGACGCTAGAAAGGCAGTGTCAGCGTTATGGCGTTTTGTAGAGTCATCTAGCCAATATTCTCCGTTTGGAAGAAGAACCACTTTTGGTTGTGACTTGCTGTTGTTGCTGTACATTACATCCTTGCGAAGGGCCTCCGACGATTCACAAATCTTCCACTTTCCATCCAGATCTCCGAAAGCAGATTTGAAAGCCTCGTAACGACGACAGCATTCACCATCATGGTGATACGCGATCGCGGCGAAGCACAAGGCAGAAAGTCTTTGCCCAAGACCATTTAGTGCCAAAGCTTTCCTAGAGTATCCCTTCCAGCAGTTGGGCATAGCTCTGATATACTCCTCTGAATCTTTAATACATTCTTCAAACTTTCCCAATTTAAGATAGGCAGTTGCTCTGTTGTTAAATAAGCATGGGTCACGGTTGGTTTCTCCTTGCATTGCTTCGATTCCTTCAGTGTAAGAATTGATGGCCTCTTCATAGAGCCCACTTTTGAAGAACGTGTTTCCTTGCATACGGGTTTGATCTGTGTCAGCACTTGTTTGGATTTCCAACGTAGGCGTTCTTTGATTCTCTAC